GCTCATCTGAGTAAAGTGTTCCAAGCAGGTTCTGTGTCATTTGCAGCAATTGGCCCAGCTATCAACTACACACTTGAGGCGCTTGAGACCGTTTCAAAAGAGAAGAGGCCACTAAGTGCACTACAGAAAGATCTTTGCACGGATGGCAGGCTTTCAGTTTGTGATTTATCTTCTCCTTTGGCCCATCAGGAAAAAAATCTAACTAGCCTGACTGACCGGTATGTCAAAGCTCTAAAGAAGAACATCAAAAACCGATTTGGCGAGAGCGATTGCTATGCCAACAAACAACATGATGACCAAGTCTCCAACAGAATGGCTTGTAGAGCGGATGCTCTCTATGCGTTCAACGTATCAGCATTTTTTCCCTGGAATGCTCTGCGTTGCTGAGGTGTGCCTTTCTTTGCCAGCAAGCAACACCTAGCCTGAAAGGGGCGCCTCAGCAATCAAGCGCATTTAGACGCGGATGAGAAGCAGAATCAAAGATGATATGCTTGAGGCACTAATGCAAATTCTATATAATGGTCCAAAGCTAAAGGAATGCACAAGTGTTGTGAAGGAGTCAGTTCAACAGTGGTTAAAGAAGCCTAGAAGAAGGCTGGCCGAGAAGACTGCAACTTGTAATCGTAACACCTCTACAGTCTCAACGAGTGATGCTGCAGTTCGAGTGGAGATTTCTGAAGATGAAGAGCCAGAGAATATTGATGACAGCAAAGTGGTTCAGATTGAGGAGGAAGGTCAGCTTCAGCTTGAGGTTAATACTGCTATTACAGTGATGAAACTAGCAGATGGTGGAGACAGCGACTCAGATAGTGCTTTTGAGTCGGACAACGATTATGACTAACGATCTGTACGTCAAATTGGACAATGATTATGAGTAACGTTATGTACGTCATACTCTGTAGTAATAGTCTGGCAAAGCGTTACATGGCTTTATCCCGGCTAACAGGTCCTTGGCTAGCAGTTCTTCATTAATCCAATGCTGCTTTCGTTTATATACTTTTTTTTAGGTAACGAGTAGTTATTAGTAACTTTTATAAGCCATGGAAACATGTGGAAATTAGTTCTGGAATATGTTAGTGACTAGCAGTAGTGAGAATAGACTGATTGTAAGACAACAAACCAAGATAAAATTCCTATTTCATTTGATGTAATGGTTCACATTGCTGTATACTGTATGTAATGAAAAATTCCCAAGATACAGTATTCTATGGTTGATGTTATCCATATATTAAAATTTAACTTCACCTGAAAAACCAAATACAGTTGTCACTAATACTGTCGTCACTTAATCAATGTTTAGTGCTGAATTTGATGCCAGAATGCAGGAAATGGTACCCCCCTAGGGGGAGGGGCCTTCCCTGAGTCACATGGTATGAAAGGAAGATCAACACTTAGATAACACATGGTCCCATGATGACGTACAACCTCTGGAAATCTGGGCACATACAGCTAATGTTTTGCAAAAATATTTCTTTGCCATTTTCTACTGACCCTACCCTTTCCAGATTTAAAGCAAGGCTGTGTATTTTCTGCCCAACTTGCCTAACGTATTAAGTTAGCAAAGCCTGACAGCTTGTATTCTATTCCATACATTTATTTGATGAAATTCCAGCGAATTGGCCATGCAATGAATAACCAGAAACCAATAGATGAACATTGAATGAGCAAGTACCACATAACGCATGAGATGCTTCAACGGCAGGTAATAAGGAAAACCTCCATAAACTCCGTTCTGAGGTGCAGGCAAAGCCTTCTTAAACATGGGTATATCACTGAATGGCTGTATGCCAAGATAGTCCAGTGGAGTGATCCAGGCACCTGCATCTTGTTGAACCACTTCACCAGCACTATTGTAAAATGTTCTTGATGTGTGCTGCATGTAGAAAAAATGTAGATGAGAATTAACTGAAAAACATCTTTTGGTTAGCGTCATCAATGGTGTGAACATATCCACTTTACAATGGTTGAATAAACGGTTGTGAAAATGTACACTCCCGTATGATTTTAAAACCCTTAAAAAATTATAATCTATGCTGAAGGCTTGAATAATTAAAATGCAAGCACGCATGGTGTCGGGGCTTTGCAACTTGCATTTTCAGCAAATCCTGGCAGGGGAAGTTGAGACATGTTTCAAAAGAAAAGGCTTCAACTTTGTTTGAAGTTGTTTCAGGTCATTGTAAGAATAAAGGAAATGATCATTGATTAAGGAAGTTCTTGATTGTCAAACAAATTCTCGTTGTCAGTACAATAGGAAATGCAAAGAGATCTGGTGCAAAGGGTTAAACTTTTTATATGAGAACCTCTGATCTGAATACAATTTTTGTCTGTTCATTCTGATCGCTTCAATCTGGAGACTAGCATACTGTGTATCTATGCATGTACTATTTATTTGACTGTTCACATTGTCTTCTTATCACCAAAATTGGCTAAAACAGTGAAATTGGACAAAACACACAAATTAAGTTCAACTTGTAAAAGTGGTCAAATAAGCTGAGTAGGTTAAACTAAACAAATTGAAGGGATAAGCTAAATTTGTTTCAGTGGTTAAAATAGTCAAACATGCTGATTTGCTTCTACTAGAAAAAATGCCAAAAACTAGCTGAATTGGTTCAAGTAGTTAAAATAGTCCAATTAGTGAGAGAGTTAGTATAATTCCGCAGAATAAAGACACTTGTGAGAACAAAAGTTAGTGTAAGTAATGATTGAATGAATATCTTCTTACCTGAAAGAACACCCTTTTAGTGCACTGATTGATGGCTGAGTAAGGAAATGACAGTCCTGAGAGCGATATAACCATTCCTACAGTGGTAACAAACAGAAGAAATATGGCTGGAAGCTTGAGGTTTCCCAGAACATACTCAGTGCTAACCTAGAAAAACGTAAATTTAAATAGAAGCATATTAGAACTTTGTGGGAGATGTGTTGGCCAGATGGTTAGCTTGGTGAACTTTAAGTTGAGAGGAGGTCTGGCTTTGAGACCTCACCAGGTCATTGGGTTGTGTTATTGAGCACGAAACATATCACTTTCTCTGTGCCCCCCTCTCTCTCTCCATCCAGGGCTCAGTTGTTCAAAGCTGGGTTAAGATAACCCAGGGTTAGTGTGAAATCTGATTTCAGATCATTCAGGAGAATTCTTTTTGTCTACAATTTGATGATTGAATGCTCTAAAAAGTATAAAGAAAATTATCCCAAAAAAAGGCTTTTGAACAAAGGAATAAAGAAACCAAGAATAAAATCTAAACCTAAACTGTATGTTAGTGCCAATCACCTTTCAAACAATTGGGCCCAGAAGTAAAAGTAAGTGCCAACCAAGTTTTTCAGGGAAGCCTGATGAAATGCTAGGGTGGGGTTATCCTTATGATGGACTGGCATCCCATTCAGGGGAGAGTACCAGTAATGACACTTCTAGTTGCTACCTGCCATAAAAATTGCAATAACCTCTGACTAGATGGGTTGCTTTTGCTTTTTTGCTTTGTTGCAAACTTTCCCTTCATTATATTCTTCTCTGAACTTTAACAGTATTAATCAGCAAATTGATCGAATTTCACTGAGCACACTCACCATATAAGAAGTCAACAGCACAACACCAAAGGCACACAGGACACTTATAAAGACATCTGGGGGTGTTTGTGTCCCAGCTCAACCCATAATAGGCACAAAGACATCAAACATAGCAAATGTCAAAAACATACAGAATGGAATAGGTATCAGTGTAGCTAAGAGATACATGAACAAAAATGCTCCAATATTTTCATGACTTGTCTTTGCAGTTAATACATTGTCCCATATAACCACTCGTATTATCAGTGGAAAGATGATAAACAGCAATGGTAAATGCACTGAAGCCAGGCGATAATATGACATTATCAACATGATTATTGTCCAGACAAGGAAAGCAGCATAAAATGTTTCTACTTCTTTCTTCTCAATTTGGTTAGATATCCTTGCCTTAATAGGAATGTTATCTTCTTTCTTCTCTGACACAGCTTTTTCCTGAGGAAAAAAACATTGAAAACACTTTCTTTTGGTAAATGTAATTTCCATCTTCATTGTTGGATCTGTGACTATTCCTCAATAAATTTATTAGATTTGAAGCTGATGATGAGATGCAGTATGGCAAAGTGTCCCACAACAAGATGAAAGATGCAGTCCAAACTTAAACTGGTAGGAAATGCTTATGCATAGCCCATTGT